AAAAAAAAAATAGTCGCAAAAAAAAAGCACCCTAATCCTACAGCAAAATATCTGAAAGCAAAATCTCTAAACTTTGTGCAATAAATTTGCATTCTAATTTCTTCCAGATTAAAAAAAAAATCCAAGTATTCAGTTTTCTGACCCATACAATTTTAGTATAACAAAGTGCAAGTTTGAAGTTGCTAAAAAATCGCGCTCATTTTTGGAAATTTTTTTTCACTCAGGTTCTTCCATACAAAGTATTTTCGATAGCCTTCCATTAAAAAATTGCCAAAAATCAACGCGATGCTTAAGATACTTCAAACTTACACCAAAATTAAATGGGCTATAAAACTGCATACTTAGAATTTTTCGTGAGATCTGAATAGAAAGCTGCAAATTAGTATGCAAAATATTTAAAATACATTGGAATAAAAAACTTTGCATATATTGCGAAAAATTACAGCAACAATAAGTATTTACATCAAAAGAAGTTTGTTTTGTTTAAATAGTGTAAAATTACCTTTGAAAAGTGGCGCCACTCGGAATGCCGATATCAATCCGGAAGTTGAGAATTGTCCCAAAAATGTTTGTATAATAAAAATGGGAATGGCATATAAAAATATGGCGGTCAAGTACATTGGCAGGAAGAAAACTGAAAAATAAGAAGATTCCAAATAAAAAAAAACAGTCATGGTAATAAAGTTGTATACTTGTACAGCTACTTATAAAGTTTAAAATAAATAATTCAATGAATAGTTACGTTCGAATTTATTAAATCACTATTTAGCTAGTCAATATTTAAGTACACGCATACATACATATGTATGTAAATCATTTAGATTTTTGAATTCTGTCTTATTCCTTTGAAATGAAAGTTTCTTCGTTTATATTTCGTATGGGGTTATCAAGAGGCCATGTGGTAGGTTCAGTAAACTGCTATCAAGGTTTTAAGTATTGTATATTTTTTTTTTTATTTTTTTACTCTTTCTTTTAAGCCATCGTAGAAAATATGCCGGCAAAATAACGTACGGGAAATATTCAACTCAGAATTTGCGAAAGCTTTTGAGCAAGTTTTTGATCGATGGTGGGTTTATTGTATGTCTCTTTTCAAATCTTTTACGAAAGGCCCACCTAACCACTATGGGGATAGTTCAGGTCTATTTCAGGATGATTTCGAACTATGCCTAAAAGATTCGGAGCTAGCCACGAAACGCTCATAAACTAGCCCAAAGTGATACCGAACTAATCTCGAAATCATCCTGAAATAGTCGGACTCTATCCCGAAATGGCCCTTAAAAAGTCCTGAGCTAGTCCCGAATTGGGCATCTTGATTAATTTAGATAACTGCATTATAAACTGAATTAGGCCCAATTTTCACATACGATATTTAATAATGTAAATCAAATAAAAATGTACTCGTTCTTTAAACATATTTGAGGAGTTCGATAACAAAACGCAATAACTCAAGTTTTCATTTTTTTTGCATAGTATCGACATTTCTCGAGGCCAGCCCACGAATTAGACCTTACCCGTTTGCCTATTCATACAAAAACAATAGAAATGTTCAAAATATGTATGAACGGAAAGCGTTCACATTGGGAAACTAATTAAAATATTCCTTGGCAAAAGTATAAACTAGTGGTGACACAAATAGCAGGTCGCGAACATTGATAAGCGAGCTAAACTTCCGTTTCATTTATTGAGCAAATTTTTGGTTTTACCCAATAAAGCTGACCACCCAACGAAGAGATAAGGTATTTGTCGAAAAATTAATACTTTTCGTACTCAATGCGTATATTATTTAAAACGAATTTTGCACATCTGCGTCAGTTAATTTAATTAATGTCATAAATAGAGCTTATCGAAATGAGATTATAAAGTTATGTGCATACGCGCTTACATATCGACGGCTGAGTGGAAGTTGGACTTATGTATGTATTTCGGCAGCCAGTTCGAAAACGCCCTTTCACAGAAACTATCTCAACTGAAAATATACTCAAATTTTGTTGAGACAGGGCGTTTTTGAACTGAATTCTAAAATAGGGCATTTTTCAAACAAATTCTGAAATGGGTAGCTCTTTCTTTTTTTTTTTCTGAGATAAGGCGATTTCGAACGGACTGCCGAGATCGGTCGATCTTTCACTCAGCCATCGATATGTCGTCCGTTTATTGCAAGGCGCGTGTATGGGAGAGAATTTTGTATGAAAAAAAAAGAAAATTGTTCGTTCCCAAAAATGTGTCCGCTTATAGCAGATGTTCGCGTATTAGAATATCCGTCTATGAGCTTTCGCGTATTTTGAAAAGAAAAATATTGTTATTTGTAGTTTCATATAATTTTTAGTAGCATTTAGTTAAATTAATTTTTCTCTTTTTAAAACTAATTTAATTTTCATTTTTATAAACTTTTTTTTAATTCCTTTTTTAAATTTAATTTTCAGTTTTTGTTTTGTTAGAAAAAAAAATTTTCTTTCTATTTTATTTAATTTTTAGAAAACTTATTGCTAACAGACAAACAGAATATCGCTAAGACCATCTCGTTAGCAGATCTTTCAATTAACATTTCGAAAGGCATAATAGAGCTTTCAAAATAGTTGTCAGAATTGATAAATGTCTTATTACGGTGACTTGAAAGACAACTGCCAGAACTGCCCTGTTATTTGAAATTATTTTTCTTCAATTTTATCGTTTTAAAAAGAAACGTGTATATTTTTTTAATTTTATTCAATTAAGTTTTTGGAAACATTTTTAATTTATTTTTTTTTTAAATAAATTAAAAATAAATTTAAGTTTTTTTAATTTAATATTTAGATTGTATTGCTTGAAAACAAAACCATTTTTTAACTTCGTTTAGTTTTTAGAATCTAATTTTTTTCTTTTTTATTTGAATTTTTGGTTTTTTAATTTGATTTATTTTTAGTTTTTAGATTTTATTATTTCAAAAAGTAAAAAATTTTTTAGTTGTATTTAATTTTTAAGAACTTATTTTCTTAATAATTTTTATTTTTTAATTAAATCTTTTTTAATTTAATATTTTTGATCTCTTTTAATTTATAGAAACATTTTATAATTTTATATTAATATTTTTTATGCAATTTTCTTTAAATTTTCATTTTGTGTTGTTTAAAAAAAAATACTTTTGCTTTAATTTCATTTGATTTTTAGAAACATACTTTATTAACATATTTTTTTTTTTTATTTAACGTAATACAGAGGACTTTTGTCTTTCGAAATACTGTGGTGAGTGGAAAGACAGTTGCCAGAATTGCCCTTTTAAAGTATGTAATCACTAAACTAGACCTACATAAATTCGTGTAACCAGTTACAATTTGAACCAAACACACGCCGAGGTCTATTAACATTTATCATTTCGTATTTAAGGCTGTGACCAATTGTTCTTTTTTGTAAATCATGGAAACCAGATACAGGTCAAATGGAGACTTTTACACTATAAAACAAAAACACACTTATAAAACAACAACAAAAAAATGGCCTCATCTCTCCTATAGGGTTTTAACAAACACACAAACTTACCTCCGCCAAAAATCAGCGCATACACCGGCAGCTCCGAGAAGATAATCGAACCGAAAGCATGGCTCGTACAGGCAAAATAGAAATCTGCCGTCGCCGACCATTGGCCCCGTCGTCGATCGTGTTTGAAGGGCCGCTGCAGCGTCTCATAAGTGCTCGTGCCCGCTATGGGCGTTGTAACGGCTGTGATAAAGCTGTTATTGACATTGTTGTTATTGTGATTATTGCTATTACTATGATCCGTTAGCTGTGTGTGGTGCTGATGGGTGTAGTGTCGCTGCTGCTGCTGCTGCTGCTGCTGCTGCTGCTGCTGATGATGATGATGATGGTGGTTGTGGTGGTTAAGCATCGACGGTGGTGGTTGGTAGCTGTTGTGGTGCTGATGATGTTGCTGGTGGAGGTTGTAATCGTTGTTGGCCACCAATATGACGGGCGGTATGTCGTCGCTGTCGTGTTGCATGCAACTGCTCAGTTGTTGTTTTGCGCCAGTATAGATCGATTTCATTGTGGTTGATTTAATTATTGTTGTTGTTGTTGTTGTTGTTGTTGTTCTCGGGCGGGGACCAAGCGTTGATTGACGCTTATTTGTTGTTGACTTCTAAGAAGAGATTTCGTACTGATTTGACGTAATCGTAACTTGTCAATTTCTTCGGCACGTCTGGCCTTTTGGGTGGGAGCGCGGTGTGCTAAACTCATTTGTATGTAGCAGGTATTCAGTGCATTTGAACACTTGTTGAATAAAACTTTTAATGCACTTATGTGTTTCGCCAGTAATTTATTGTGTTCATATTTACATATTTGGAAGATAAATCAGTTCGATAATTGACCAGAATTTTTGTTAAGCTGAAATGTTGTTAGATAATCGAAATAAATAATTAGATAAAAATTTTAATTCAGTATAGAATGTATTGAATTTAAAAAGTTCTTGGAAGTACCTTTACATAAAAATCATTACTATATAGGGAAGGTCATGAAGTTTGTGAATTGAAGAGGCAGAGATTTGAAATAAGCTATGTATATAATTTTTTTTTACTTTTCAATGTATTCTCTTTAAAGGGCCATTTTCTCAAGCAGGCTTTAAAATGGATCCTACCTTTAAACACAAATTTTGCTCCGAAAAAATGTGTTTGAAGGGCTCTATGTAAGTCGAGTCAAAAGTGAAAACTACTCGAAAAATATATTCGATATGAATATGAATTCCTACTATCTAAAAACTGGGCTATGCAAAACATAGACTTGACTCACCTAAAAACTAAGAAACGATTAATCAGCGTGTAACCTAATTGGTTTTGTCTTTGTTTTGATTCTCAGCACTTGTATTTGTACACGTAAAATTGTAAAAGTTGAATTTGTTTTTACACCACAATGGATACAAAATTACTAATGTTGGGCAGTATCGATACCAAAAGTACTCCGAACTCGATTCTCAAAAGGATCGACAGCACCCGATTATTAAAAGTATCGATACTGAGTACTCCAAATCACTCAGTACTCAGAAAAGAACTCTAAAGTACTCAATACTCAAAAAAGGAACTCGAAAGTACTTAGACTCAAAAATAGTCTGTTCCAATAATCTATTCAAAGTGCTTGGTATCAGGTATCGAATAGACTTAAAAAGTACTGAGTTTTATTTATATTTAACGGCATACAGAAACGATTGTACTCAATTTGCAGTTCCAATAATTTTCAAGTACAATACTTGTACCCAGTACAGTTAGCCATTCATTTGACGTAATTTGGGATTCATATATTAATTTGAATGAAATACTGCCAGTTTGTGAGATTTCTACACTAAGTGTTGAAATGTTACCAACATGTGTATATTTAAAAGAAAGTACTCAGTACTCTGAAAAATACCCGATCCTTAAAAGTATCGATACCAAAGAACTCGATCCTCAAAAGTACTCGATACTTCTCAACACTAAAAGTTACTATTAAAATAAATGTATTTACGCGTATCAAATTGTGATAGTTTTTTTTTCTGTCTTTATTTGAAAGTTTGTTTTCCGATTGCTAGATGAATTGTATTTATACAAAAAATTATATTTGTGTGGAATATTTGTAGGTACTTTATTTTGAAAAATTAAATGGCAGCATGATTCTCTCAGGGCTCTATTTGCACTTAGAAACTTAATTAGAAATCAAAAACCCATGGTACAATAATTACAGGTATTGTCTTCCCAGAGAATATTGCTTTACATCGAAATTCGCTACTCATTTGCAAGATATACAATTTTCAAGTCAAGTCAAGTCCAAGTCTTGCACAACTATGCTTTAACACTTTCGGATCGAGTAGAAAGTGTTTTCATTCATTTGGCTCTACTTTCGAATATTTTTAGTTTTGATTTAGTGGCACTGATTGTGAGCGATGGAAAAAAAAAAATTAAAAAATTTAAAGCAGGAATATGTGTATACTTTGGAAACGATACTTTATACCGTAACATAGTAGATGAGCATTTGCTTAGTGAACATGGGTTCCGCGGTTCGTTTTTCTCGAGTTTTTGATTTTTTGGATTATGTCATTCTTGCAGTAATTAAGTGATATTGTGAATATTTATACTATGTATTTATGTTATTTCCTATACTTTTATTACAATTTAAGATGAAAAAGTGGTATTTGCCTTGAGTAAAGGTTTTCAACTTTTAAAGAAAGCCATCATCAACAAACTTTTTCACTTGATAAGTTATAATCTCAAAAATACTAAATTTGTATTTTTAAATATGATCATTTAAATAATTTATCAAAAATACCTAACAGTGTTGTCCTATTTTCTTTATGCCTTAAAATGTACAAACACAAGTTTTATTTTCAGTGCAGCTAACTTGACAAAAAAACTAAAAAATTTTTCAACTCAAATTTTGCAGTCCCTAAATTCTGCCGCCATAGTCACCTGCCTATGTTGTCTCTTCGGTAAATCCGCCACTGCATATGTAAATTGACGTGAATTGTCAGTGAAAATCGTACAGTAAATGGTTTACATTTTTTGAAAATGTTTTGAATTATTAAAATTTTGTTTATATTTAATAATACACTAAAACAAAATTCTTCATCATCAAAACTTTGCACTTTTTATTCATAACGCGCGAACAAAATTTTTTTTTAGTATGGAAGAAAATTCGCAACACACTTGAAAAAAAATTAAAAAAAATCTACGGTATTTTTTAGCGACCTCACGCTTGCACACTACTATACCCAGAAGGTGTGAAAATTTTACGATTATTACAAAGCTAGAAACTTTGAGTGTTATGGATCTTGTTGTAGTGTGAAGTATATTTATATTAAAAATTTAAAAAAGATAAAAAAGAAATATAAAAAAACTGTACGCTTTTCACTCACCGTATGTACATATATGGGGCATTTCTTGTGAAAATTTGTTAAATTCAAAAGGGCGGATCCAAGATAGGCAAAATTTGTTTTTAAATTCATAAAATTTGGATCCGCCATTTTGCATTTTAAAAATCCATGATCATATTCTTAATCAGCGACCCCGAAAACCCGAATAACAAATTACAAGCGAATCCAAAAATTTTTCAAATTTTTGTATGGCCTAAGTAATTTCCATTCCAGATTTAGGTTAGGATCTGCTCTAATCGCCACAATTACAAAATTTTTTTCAGATGGAAAGATTGGGTCTGCAGCATATGGCCCAGAGTTCAAACTTAGCAATTTCCCAAACTTGTGATACGGCCTAATGTAAGCAATGAAAATGTCTGTTTGTTAAATTATTAAAAAAAAAAAAATATTTCAGCAACATTAATGCATTGTTTTGGCGTCATTCCTTTTTAATATTTCGTTTCATTTTGCGTGGTGCCGAGATACATACTTATGTATGTACGTATTTTTCAAATTTGAAATATTCCAAAAATTGTTCCTTCTTTTTTGTTTTTTATTGACAAGAACCTTGACTTTGCATTTGCATATTTTAGGAAAATTGAAACGAAACCACAACAATGTGGGTTAAAATATTCGCTCTCACTTCCGCGCAACTACCCCACTTTCAAATAGCAAATTGCGCTTGCGCTAATGTTAAGACCGTGTCAGACGTGACAATATTTCTAACTTTTCCATGCAATTTGCTGGCAAATTGAAAATTATAAATTTTATTTCAACGTGTAAACAGCCAGAAAGAGTGTCTGTCACTTTTCGCGCAAATCAGTTTCAGAAATTAACGTTGCAAGATGTGAATGCAGCTGAAAGAGCGCAAATCGATTTCAGAAATATGTTTCAACTTATTCACGATAAGTGGTGAATGAAAAACAAATGAAAAACAGTTGACAAGATAGTTCGAAAGACTATTGTTATTCTGGCACAAAAGTCTTCCAAAAGAGCTCTGTCATTCACCACGTGGTGAAAAGCTATTTCGGGAGAAAGTACTTGTATGTATGTATATCGTTTAGTTCGCGTTGCTCCAATAGTCGTAATGACCGTTAGAGCAAAGCAAAGGCCTGCTATTCGAGAGATCCGAGTTTGAATCCTCGGACGGCGATTTTTTGTTCTTTTTTAGTTTACAATTTTTGATTTTTTAATTTGATTTTTTTATTTTAAGCTTTTTTGTTAAAAAAAAATGTATATATATTTAATTTTATCCTAGAAACTTATGTTAGGTAATTTTCTTTTTCCTTTCATCATTTTATTTATTTTTTTCTTTATGTAAATTTCTTTTAATTTTTAGCATTTATTGTTTTAAAAATAAGAATATTGTTTTGAATTTCATTTAACTTTTAGGAACTTATTTTACATTTCAGGTTCTATATTTTTTTGGTTTATTTTCTTTTAATTTCTAAATTTTATTGTTTTAAAAAGCACCTTTTTTTGATTTCATTTTATTTTTAGAAACTTATTTCATTTATTTTTTCTTTTTTGTAATTTAACTTTCCTTTTATTTTTTAGTTTTATTTTTTCAAAAAAAGAAAGATATTTTTTATTTAATTTAATTTTTTAAGGATGTTGTTAATATTTTTGCCTTTTCTATTTACTTAAATTTCTTTTGGTTTTTATATTTTCTTTTGAAAAAATTAAAAATCATTATTTTATTTTATTTAAGTTTTGAAGTAAGCGTGTGCAATTTTCTTCTTTTTAGATTTTGTTGTATTTTTTTTCCTAATTTAATTTTTATTATCCAGAAAAGTTGCCCGAATTCATTCGCTGCGTGAACAGCCATGCAACTACTTGTTGAAATTTCTCAATTTGACAGCCTTTTCGAAATATGTATATTGCATTGCCACTCTGACACGCTCTTTATGCTTTCCATTTTCGCGCGTGCACTTTAATATTTACAAATTCAACACTTTTTCTGCACTCAGCTAAATACACATATTTGAAAAAAAGAAAACTCACATTTGGCATTTGCTAAAATCAGCGTAATTAAAAACGCATTTAATGCAAACGCGTCAAAGTAGAAACAATGTCCAGCACACCAAATAAATTTCGAAATTGAAAATAAAATTTAAAAATTTCACTAAAACCAATATGAAATGTGTTTTTGGCTATGCAGGCCAAATGGACGCAATTCCTTGTAAACGCGTGCGAAATTTATTTGAAATCGCGTAATCACATATAGAATTTCGATCGATTGAATGCATATACTACTATTCGTACGAGTATTTTGCCGCCTATTCCTTGCGCTGCAACTGTTCGACTACTTATTTATTTACTTGTGCGCTCAACGCTACTTTCTGACACAAACTGAAATATTGAAGTTTCTTTTTTCAACAAAATAAGCAAATAATTTTGTATTTTATTCTGAACGTGATGGTGATAGACAGACATTGTTAAAAATTCCAATGCGCCAGCATTTGTGGCAGTGACTGACTGTCAAGCGGGGGAGTGGTGGTGGAGGGAC